TATGAGAATCACACTCTAAAGGTATATGTTTCAATGAAGTTTTATTCAAAAGAACTGAAATAACATATATTGAAAATAGTAATGAGAATTGGTTTTTTATAATATTTTATTAAAATAATATAATTGTGGAATTTCTTTTATCTAATTTTTTTTAAAATTTATCTAATAAAGATTAACATCTTACAATTATTGTCATTTATTGATCGATGGTATGTGATAGCTCTTGAAACAAAAAGCTTAACCAAATGTTTTTATTTCTTATGTTTTTAGTTCTTATGTCTACGGTACTAATCAATTCATTTCTTCATGACTCCGTCTTAACCAAAGTTATTGATTTCATACCGTATCGGCTGGTACAGTGGTATGTACCAATTTGAAAATAAAATCGGTATACTATATTTTAAATGTAATATTAGATTAAATACTGGCCCTACCAATCAAATGCCAATTGTATTAGTCCTAGTAGTCGGTAGATATAAATAACACACAAATAGAAAAAGTCAAAAAAAGAAAGGGAAAAAAAACTTAAATGCAAAACATAACCTAAAATATAATTTTGGTTATACACAAATAAGACAATAAAATAAAAAGAGAACTTAAAAAATGTAGATTTTCTTTGAAGTCTAATAATATAGAGCATGAAAGAAAGGCTAGTCATAACAATTTTTAAAAATTGCAGGAACATCTTAAGTAACAAAACAGAGCTTCATTGAAGCATTGTGTGAGAAAGTAAAATTTTAAAATAGAGAGAAAAGAAAAAGTGTGTTTTAGAAGAAAATATTGTAAAGTTAAAGTACTAGAGGAAGTTTAGTCATTTAGTAGATAAATGGGAGGTGGAGTTACATGTGATGAATTTACATTCATTTGTTATGACAAATTATTTATAATTTATTCTTTTTTTAATACTATATAAATATTATAATAAATGTTTATATCTATAAGTATAGTTGTAAAAGTTTATATTTAATTTATAATAAAAACATATGTTTATAGGGATAAATCTAAAATAATACATAATATTATTTAATACATAATATATACTATACCAATAATAAAATCGATATACCATATTAATAATAAAATCAATATACATGCAGGTATAGTATTAATAACTTTAGTTTTAAGAAAGTTGTCACTACCGTACCGGTATGTGTACTGATTTTGTTATTGGAACAGTATGTATCGAATATCAAAATTTTTCACGTACCGTTTCGAATTTATCACTATAAATATATATTTTTATAAATTAAATATCAAATTTTAAAATAAAATAAGAGATACTAATGTTTAAAACCATCATATTACTATAAATTGAAAACAAGTTTAAAATGATCATTTTTAGTCCCTCAACTTCTAATATATGCATATTTTTAGTCCATCCACTTTAAATTAAGGAACTAAAAATATGTATATTTAGACAACTTTAATGGAGTAATTGATAGAAGAATTAAAAAAAATATGAAGAATGGACTAAAAAAGTACATAAAAAAGTTGAAAGATAAAAATTATGTAAAATATTAAAGTTGAGGACCAAAAATGAAATTTAACATTTTTAAATTTGAATTGAGATGTACTAAACAATTTTTGTATATGGACCGATACATCGAAACTTGACCGAAACAAATGAAATTTAACTAAAATAAAATTGAATCATGTACCATTTTGATTTAATATAAAAACCAATGCGTACTGATCATACTAACTGGTACAGTACGGTATCAATAACTTTAACACCTTTCCTCTCACTCAATACTTCTGGGCTTTCAAACATTAGAAAACGAAAAGGGTTAGTTTTGGGCTTTCAAAACTTCTAAGAATCCAAGTTCGAAGTTCCAACCCAGCTTGCTGTAGTTCTAGGTTTCTGCCACTGGCCCAATACCGGCATTTTAGACCTTGATATGACCCAACCAACATTAGGCAAGGGGTGCAAGCATACATGTTTTTGTTAATATTTTGTTTTTTCGTTTATTTTCTTCTTGATTCCTCTTAGCAATTATGCGGTTTATTAAGTGAATTTACATGTTCGATAATAAAAAGATTATAATTTATATTCATGAGGCCAAGCTCATATATAATTTCAAATCTGATCATATAGGTAATCCATATTCGAAGGTGATTTTTGAATATTAACTCTTTAGTCTCTTAAAAAAGTTTTATTATTAAACAACATGGTTTAAGTATTGGGTTTGTCCAATTTATTCTAAGAACACAAGTTAAAAATCATTAATTAAGATATTTTTAATTAATTTTACCAATATGTTTATATCATATTCATACATTTTTATAGATTTTGAATATAAATATTTTATTTTATTTTTTTACATTTCATATTTCCTTTTATTTGAATTTTATATGAAATTTTGTACAAATTTACTTACAAATAGTACAATCAATGAGACTTAACTTTTGCCCTAAGGGTATAGGTAAGAAAATCCCTTAATTATAATCCATTAATTATTTAATCAATTGATCTAACAAACAATCATTTATTTGATGGTCCAAAAGTTAAAAACTTGAATATTTATATTGAAGATTTTAAATTTGAATTTTGTAATGGGTAGGGGAAGGGTTTGAAAAGAGGAGAGCTATCCATTATTGTATAACACATCATTTAATGTAAAAAAAATCATTTATTTGACGTTATTAAAAAAATAAAAAAACTTCAAAATACCAACCAATTTTGCAAAAAAAACTAGGTTAAAACTCCATTTTGGTCTTCAACTTCAACAAAAAAACTCTTTTTTAATCCCTATACTTCTTTTTTATAGTTCTAAAATTTATTATTTAACCACTTTTTAGTCTCTCCATTAATTTTTGCATGTATCACGTTTAAACATAACAAAAATTGCAAAGTAGAGAGACTAGAAAGAGCTTCTTTTTGTCCCTCTACTTTAAAAAAATTCCATTTGTAGTATCTCTGTTTTGGAATTTATGTTATCTAACATGTCATTTGTACAAAAAGATAACAAAAGAACTAAAAAAGGTCAAATAATTAATTTTAAGGATTTAAAAGAGTTTTCTTAAGTAAAAGGACTAAAAAAGAGCTTTTGTTGAAATATAAGGACCCAATATAAGATTTTAACCTAAAATCTAAGGATGTGATGAATTTAAATGTCTCATCAACATTAAATTCCTTTTAATTATTGTTTCTCCAAAAGTCCTTAGCTGGTCTTAACCACATGAGTTGGGGAATAAAGCGTGTCATTTGCTTTGTCTAAAAATAAGAAAATAGAATTTTGTAGACGACCCCTCCAAAAGAATGACTGGAAAGAATGTCTGTGAAATAAACTGCGCCCAAGACAATGTTGCAAAATAGAGGGTGGAGTTCTGCAAAATAAGTTACTAGTTACCTTGGACACCTCCAAGGACTTTACAATCACAAAAGTATAATAAAAGTTACAAATCCTAAAATAAACACAATATCCTAAGGCAATTAATTTAACAAGATATAAATAAAAGAGAATAGCATACCACAAAAATAAACTCATAGACAACAAACTGTGTAGGATAACAAACATTAATTTTATCTACGCAATCTATAATAATTAAACTAATTACTCACAAATTTTAAATAAAAATAATTGAACTATGTGATTGAAAAATCTAAAGGAAAATCAATGAATTAATCGAAGTTTGGGAACTTGTAAAATTAAACTTTGACCTAGAAATTGAAATTAAACAAATTGCATGTCTGGCAGTTACGCAGATACAAGGAAAAGAAGGCAAAAAGCATTCAATCTATTTACATAAACAAATATTAAAGATGAATCCATAAGAGAAGAAAAAAACTAACCAAATTGATGGGGCAAACTCGTTTCAAGGCTGAGATGCTTCCAAATTCTTAAAAGACTAACCAAAGTTGACATCTTTGAAAGAAAATATGAACAAGGATGGAAAAAGCTAACCTAAAGCTATGAACAAGAACAGATCTTGCAACCTAATCTGGAAATTATGTTGAAATTTGGAAGAAGCAGACTAAATGTTGAAAAGGTAGATGCGCTAGGTAGTTTGTGTAGGGCAGGTTGTCTATAACTGATTTTTGCCTCCTGTTTTCCTTTTCTTCGGTGCTGGGATGCCTCCTCCATGTTTTTCAGCCTTTTTCCCACCATGAACAGGTAGTGGGGAACTCCACGTCTGGGCAATTTCTGTAGGGCAGCTGATAATTTTTTGATTCAATCTTATCTTCAATAAAACCCTAATAATCCCTATCTTAAAACCCTTACCTTCCTACTTTAAATCAAACTTAACCACCAAGCATTAATTTATCTTTTTGTCACCTAAAATCCAGCCCTTTTAAAAATCCATTTGGGCCATTAATTCCCAAACTAGCCCAGCCCAAATCCAACCTGCTGACTCTCTTTATAGATTGGGTTTTAACTTGACACGTGACCTTAATCTATTATTATTTTTATGTATAAACAATTATATATTTATGTTAAACAAAATTTACGGATACTAACTTTAACTCATACATGTTAACTAATTAATAAATCATTTCAACTATCACAATGGTTTTTTAATAAATTTATGAGTTAAAAATTATCTCAATGAATTCATGTAAAACAGTTAACAATTTTTGAATAAATCTCAAATGTATATATATATATATATATATAATTTGTATGATTTAGT